ATGTGCGTGACACAAATCGTGTACTGCGCCTGCCCCTTGGAAGGGCACCAGTCACACCGTGTGGCCAAATTACGTCTGTGACGTCGCTGTGCCATTCGCGCGTTTGCGTGAACCCGTGCCACTGGGGGAGTAAAAAATGTTGGTGCAAGGTGGAAAGGAGCGGGAAGGTTGGCGGTTTCCCCGACCGAGGCTTGATTGTTGTATCTAATCTACTCTGTTGCACACGGTGTGGCCAAATTACGTTTGCGACGTCGTTGCGCCATGTGGTTTAGCGCGGCCTTGGCGGAAAGTGCGTTTGCCTGCGTCTGTGCCACTGGGTGGCAAGCACGTTGGTGTAAATTCGGCGTGTCACTGGAGAGCGGGATGATTGGCGGCGCCTGCCACGCTTGGTGTTGCATTGTTGTATCTACTCTGTGTGGCCAAACTATAATATAGACCGATAGACCCACTAATTTCCACGGTATATCAGAAGAAATCTTTCAATGGGGTTCTTCACATTCCTTGCTGTCATATACAGTGCGCCAAAATACTGGCGTGCTCCTCTGTCCACGCTCCCGGGCCATTCGTCGTCTAGTTTTACGCGGGCGTTTTTTCCTTTAGGCTTTTGGTTTTGTTTTTCTGACTCCTCTTGCTAAAGGCCGGGGTCGACGGTTTATGCGGGGGTGTTTCTTCCTCCCTCCTCTGCTTCATCTTCCTCTTCCGCCTTTTTCTCTTCAATTTCTTCTCCACTCGCTTGAATTCAATCTCATCAGACTTCATCTCTGAGCAGCTCTGGCATCAGGAGTGTTGGGCAGCATCGATCACCTCCTTCTTCGCCAGGGACACGCGAAGCATTCTGACCTAGGCTTGATTGCTGCCGTGGCGCCATCTTCTCACCGCAATTCTTTCATCACGGCTGATCTTCAGCCACTTCTCTTTTCTGATCTTCTCCTTGTCGCGCAGTAAGTCGTCCAAAGCACGATCTTGAGCCTGTTCATGGTCCTCCTCGGTGTCAAGGGCATTGAAATCAACGTGCCTCTTCTTGCGCACTTGCCCAGCTATGTCTTCCAGGTCGCGCGTGCCATCCATGTAGCCAGTGCCTTCGCGCTCTTCAATCCCGAACTCTGCTGGGGGGTTGCACGCTGGATGACCCGGGACTTCATCTCTTCCAAGGCACTCTCCAAAATGGCTTTGCGCAAAAGCTGCGGCCATTGCTGAGATTTCTTAGTCTTGTTGCCTTCAAGTTGCTCGTGTGGATGAAGTCCATCACATAGCGCACAAAGTCTTTCCTTCATTCTTGCCGAGGAGAGGAGCATACCACTGGCCTTTTTTTGATGAGGTAGACCACCTTTTCCAACCAGACCTGACACGCATCGATCCAGTCGTATGAGCTCCAGTGGCTCTCCAGTCATCTGATTCCGCAGCTGCTGGTTCATCATGTCGGTGAAGCACTTCAGCTGCCAAAGTAGTGACGGCCACGTCCAATTAAGCTCCAGGCGACGTTCCACAAGTTTTGCTATCCAGGCCACGACTGGATACCATTCCTTTCTGTTCATCAGTTCATCATGATCTTCTCGCGCCTCTCTTCACTTCTGGTGGCATTGAGGCGTTGCCATGGTGACCAGGGCGCGCAATGGAGAAAGCGTCAGCAAGTAGGGGTCATCATCCTCGATCTCCTGCCAAAGACGATCGCAATTTGCCTTTTGCAGAAGGTCGTAGCGATCGTCGATCTCGATGTCCACAGGCGCGCTGATGCTCAATCCCATGGTCACAGCCAGCAAACTCAAAGTAGCTGCCCCTGCAGAGATCTCCTACATGAAAGAGCGACACCCTTTGGGCAGCATCTTCTTATGCCTCTTGGTCTCACCTTGAAGCGTGCTCCACATGGTGCAATCTTCCTTCTCCGTGTCATCCAGGCTCTCGCAAACCTTTTCTCAAGGTCTTGGCTGAGCACTCATGTAGTGGAATATGAAGTTCACTTCGCTGCCCGTGACATTGTCATCTTCATCAGTCAAGTTCTCTTCAAGGACCTTCGCGCCTGTGGCGTTCACAAGGACCTTCTCCTCTTCAGACACGTAGTCTTCAGCAAAAGCCATAGCGTTGCCCTCGTTGTTCTCATCGCCAGGGTGAAGTCGCAGGGCTGGCAAGCCATTCAGGTTCACAATCTCCAGCTCCTCATCGAGAGTCTTGCTGTAGGCGGTGTAAGATCAGAACAAAGCCAAGCGACTTCTGGGCATTTGAGCTCAAGAGCAAAGGAGTGTCCGAGTTGTCCAACTCTATGGGAGTGATGTTTCCGGGGAACAGCTCATCATCTATAGGCCCATGACCTCTTCCCGGACACTTCCACCTTTCCACCAACTCCACGGAATCGTCCTTCAGCCGGCATCAACTCCGGCTGCTTGCCAGTGAAGCGCACGAACGTCTCCATCCACCGTGAACCGTGGCAGGTGTGATTGCAGCCAGTATCCAAGGTCACACAGAGCTCTTCAGCATCCTGCCTGTCGGTCATGATGTAGGCTGCACTAGCCTCCTTCTCACGCACAGCTTGGCAGTACCTGGCAAAGTCTACCAGGCATGGATCCTTCAAGTCGCCTTTCTCAAACTTGGTGAGGATTGTCTTGACATACGTCTTCTCATAGTCATAGATCTCCTGGAAGGTATGCCTCTTGAAGGCGCCGTTGGCAAAAGTCTTGCCCTGCCATTCCTTGATGTCGACTTCACGCGATTTGGGGCCACTGCCTCGCGATGGTCCACCTCCAGTCTCGTGTGCAATCGTTGAGCCTCCTCCAAACACAGCTGCCTTGCACTTCTCATAGATTCTGTCCAAAGTGGCAACTGAAAGCTCACCTCCAAGATCTTTCTGAAGCTCCACCGAAACTGAAAAAGCAGTTCCACAATCCTCTGGGCGTGAGACACCGTGCTCGGACTCAGGAGCGTTGAAGAAGAAGTCGATGAAGTTCCTCCTCCTGCGCAATTGGGTCGTTGACCCTTCTCAACATGTCCACATATCTTGCACTTCCATTGCCACGTTGCGCCGGCACTGCCACGCCAAGCCTTTTCTGCGCGCGAACAGGCGCGATTCGTCTGGCTGTCTCCAACTGGCTTCATCTCCTGGTGTACTCCACAAGGTCTTGCCACAGTCCTTGCGTTTCACAATCTTGACGCGGACGTTCGATCCATGCTTCGTTTTGTTCTTGTGTTCACACGCCGGATGCTCCGGCGCCTTGTTGGCCGAAGACGCAATAGATCTCGACGAGCTCATAGGTTGAACTGGTAGTCGTGGAAGTCCTTGCTGCGCCTTCCATAGCCATCGATCCAGTCGCTCACGGTCTTGTTCATTGAAGAACGGATGCCCCAACTCAATTCATTCCAACGCTCATCGCAGGCATCTCGCCATTCGGGATCATCAGGGTCATTGGCGGCAGTCATGAAGTAGTCCAAATGAGCTTTACGAGCATCAGCCAGCAGCTAGCTGTAGCCTCTTCCAACTGAATAAGAACTAGGTGGCTAGAATCCTCGCTCCATGGCCATGCCGGGAATCGGCAATGGGGCTTGACGCAAAGTCTTCACCTGGGCCTCTGCTATCAAGCGGTCAAGTGCCTCATCTGCCGTCTCTTCACGTCCATCTCTCATCGCGACGTTGGCCTCCAGGTCATGGCGCTGCTCCTCAGTCACGCGGCATACTCCGCTCCTTCTGGGTCATGTGATTCATCAAGGCCCTCATCAAGCATGTTCATGAAGACGGATTGGATGACCTCATCCTCGTCGTTCACATAATTGTAGTTCTCGTCAACATGATAGCCATCGAACTCCTCATCTCCTCCAAGGCTCTGGGAATGGCTTCCCAGTCTTCGCAATCGTAGTACTCATCGACAGGTTGAGTGCGGTAAGGACCAACTGCGATGCCTGTCCTTGCCATAGCCCTTGGAGTTACAGCTCTTGCCATAGTTTGAATGGCGCCCAAAGCCTCCTTTGCCTTGTCCAAGCTCTTGCTCGTGAACTCGGCTGCGCTGTGCGGCCAACTCTTCACAGATCTTCTCCATGGTCACATCGCCATGCACAGCAGCTCGAATCAGCAGCTGGCGGTCGCTGACGCCAGAGTTCTGCAATGTTTGTTCTGCTAAAATCGCTTCTGGAAGTTTGAGGCTGCTGTCCATGTCAAGCATGAGGTAACATATGATGGGACGCTCTCTCCATGCTGCCTTGAAAGAAGGCCTCCTTGCTGTGCCCCGATCTGGTATAGATCCCTAGCCTCCTGTCGTGACCTCGGCTGAAGGGAGCTTGGAGAACGCTGGTGCCATCCTCGCCGGCTCGAGCGACTTGCAACACCGGACCTCCACTAGCCTCAAAGCTAGGACTCCTCCATGGCCTTCTCACGAGCCTGCCGCAGCCGAACGCGGAATTGGTATTCCGCTAAGCGGCTGACCTCGCCGTCGTAGCCCGGCACACCAGATTTGGCTTCTGTGCTCCAAGCATCATCTTGGGCAGCAGCAAGTGTCTGCCAACGCAAGCATTCCACGATCGACATGGCGTCGTGGCGGAAGGTGAAAAAAAAGTCCAAGTCCCCCAAAGGGAACAGGGTTTGCCGAACAGCCTGCGCTCTCCCAAAACAAACCCCCGGAGTCTCACTCTGCTGCCAGTATGAAAGTGGCAACCAAATGTGACGAAAACAAAAGACAGTGTCGCGCCCTTTGTTCCGCACAGCTTCCATCTTGAGCCACAAGTCGTGTGGCGAATGCTACCTCCGCTGAAGGGTGGACACAGCTATGACCAATACGCCATCGTGGCTCAATCTTCCTTTCACAAGACTGTGTGCACACGGGGGTTCGGGCAAACTAGACATACCCATGCATTGAAAAAAAATAATCCTGTGTACGGTGTGTGCTTTTCCTTCCCAATGGCAATCCAGCCCCCTCAGTATGTATTGCATGCAAAATCATGACTCATGACCAATGATATTGACAGCAGTGTAACTTATCTCCACATGACCACTTCAAATCTCTCTCACACCGGCATCTCGCCTCTTGCATCTGCTCCTGTGTGTTCTCGATTTCATCATCAAACTCATCTGGCAAGTCAACCTGTCAAATACTAGAACGTATCATGTGGTATGCCATAAAATATCGCATTCTTCTTGCTCTAACTTCTTGAGACCTCTCTCAACTGGAGGCCAGTGATCTCCAGGCTTAGCCCCAATTCAGGCTTAGCAAAGTTTGTCTGCAAGACCTTGGCAAACTAACTGCAAATCAGCGGAACAAACTTGCAGAAGCTCGGCGCAAACTACCATGCTCTATTGATGATTTGTACGATCCCCGGCTTGACTCATTCTGGCAGTGATTGCCGCTCGCTTTGTGAAGTACCTGCCATGTTACCATTGAGTACCAGCATACAGCCACAAACTTGTTTCTGCCAAATGTAAGGTCCCTGCCCTGCTTGAGCATTTTCAGATACGAATTGAAACCCTCCACTGTCAACCTAATTAAAACAATCCTTACGAGTAGAAAGGCATCCACCCCAACGCGCAGTCCGTCTTTAAACATCTTTAAACTCTAGACTCTACACCTACCTTTTCAGGGGGGCAATGAAGGAGCCAGATTCTTCATCCCTTTGCCTGCAAACTTGACAAGGGCATGTTCACTGTTGCATGTAGCATCGATTGTTGTCAAAACCAGAATCCACAATGAAAACGCGACTGGTTGGCTCATCAGCTGCGAACTCTGCGCAAGCTTCGATCACACCCGCTCGAGCGAAGCGGACAAACTCGTCCTGGCAGTGGCAGCACTTGGCATGGGAAGAACATTCATGAGGACTATGGTTGGCGACGGCTGCCATCCTGAAAACAATTGAACATTACATACACTCTCAATTAGCACTATTTTGGAATATGTTGGACCCAGAAGAGTTAATAGTTTCAACACAACACATTGGGTGTTTGTGAATTCATCCCCGTATATCCCCATATGAGTCGAGTGTTTCCTCAGATTTAGTTGGAGCAAACGACTTGGGATCTGCCGTCAACATGAACAACTGGTGCCATCGTGACAAAGCGCAATTTGTGTGAAACACACCATCGCGCTGCCTTGTACAAGTTCTCGCCGAGGATGTTGTACAAGTCTCGCAGTGCACTGGGCCTGTAAAGAGAGGTGTTTGAAAACAAAACCAACAAAAGCCGCATTTCAATTGACCTCAACCTCCATTGAAGGGAGACCGAAATTTGCATCTCCAACCTGGGTGTTCAACGTGACGTTGTGACAGGGGCAATGTTCAAAAGGTTCAGTATCATATCACATCATCCAAGTCACCCGTCTGCAGAGCGAGCACGAATAGGCCCCTTTACCACAGGCTGAAAGAGCTCAGCGACAGGAGCAGGATTCACTCCTTCGACATTTTCTCTCGATAATTAATTCTCAGCTGCAACTTATAGCTGGCACTCAACTGGTTAAACAGCTGCCGCCACTGTCAAAGTCGGGTCAAGAAGTCAACCAGTATGCCGTCCACACTTGCCGATGCCTCGACCATCCTGGATGAAATACATTGCCTGGAAGGTCGCTGGAAACCTTGTCAGGAAGGTTATGGATTAGCGCGTCAAGGTTTCCAGCTTGAGAGATATCAGTTTGAAAGACATTGAAGCTATTGGGTTGGAAGCCATCGCTTGTAGGTTGGAGGCCATTGCTATTAGGCTGGAGGCCATTGCTCATAGGCCCATAGGCCGTTTCTCTATCAATACACAATAGCTCTGCTCCAGGCTCAATGAGGTAGTTCCCGAATCCAACAAAGCTTATGCCAGGCTCGGTGACAACCTTCACATATGTGTCCGATGCTGTTTATATATATATACACACGTTCAAAAGCACTCGACGCATGTCATTTACCAAGTGTTGGTATCATTATCATTGTTTCATTACTAGGGTCACAGATTTCAAAACAAGCCAAGAGGAAGGCTACCATAGTACCCCATTTGCAGGTACCCAGTTTGTATGGGCCTCACTGCTGACGGACTGGGACATCCATTCGAGAATCACGGACTGTCTGCCCTGCTCCATCGACTTGAAGGAGATAGGCCTTGTTTTTTTCACAAGTTCCCTGTTGAAACTGCAATCGTCCCAACTCACAAAGTTCCAAGTGGCACAGCAACGAAAGTGAATATCAGAAGTGCCACTGCAGTGCAAAGCCCGCATACCGGCACCACACGGATGTCTTCAATCATGCCTCACTCGGATGCAACTCTCTTACTTGTTGCTTCCGCGCATGCCGAGGTCAAGACCGGTTTTCGAATGCCCAAAGAAACAAAGCTCGAAGCTTCAGCCCAAATTGCCAGAACAAGCGGGATCATTGCAAACTTTCCCTTTGATTTTTTGCAACTTTCTTCAATCGTCCACAACAAATTGTGTATTTATGTATATACAACGAGATTGAGCCTGACCTGCCTGCCAGCCTGGCATAAATTAGGATGGATGGGAGTTGAAAATTCTGGGGAGAGGGTTGCCCGAACGCCAAGCAGATCTTGAACCTCTCAGAAACACAACTTTGGCAAGGTGCCTGCCTTCCGGCTGGAAGCATGAAGCTGTAGCTACTCCTCATTCATCCTCATTCTATTCTTCCCTGGAATTTAGGGTGATTCATTCACTTGGCTTGATCCAACTGTCATATAGAAGCTGATGCAAGGTGAGCCAAGTGCTACTCTTGAGAACCCTAGTTACTGAGCAGGGTTGTCTTGGGAATTCGAGATATTTTGAGACGCTTCTTGACTTCGACCGCGAAGGCCAAATTCTTCCGCAGCGCTCAGACCAAGACACTTTTTGGCCAGTAAAAGTCTCTACTCTAGTGGACTTCAGACCATGAGACTCTTGTGGCATCTGTCAGATTCTGTCCGTTGTGTGCCAACATGGGCTGCAGTGAGCAAGCGACTGCTTCGACCACCTTCTAGACGGACGAGCGCTCTACCTGAGAAGCACAAGGATGGAAGGATGGAAGAGCGGGCTCTGCGTCAAACCGAGTCAAACCCCAAAAGATAATTATGACAGTCGTGCTCCTTCACATCACAGTGCGAATTGTCTCCTCCTGTAATGTAGACGAGGAATGGAAAATATCAGCCATGCTAATCATGCGTGCAGTGCTCGGCAAGGTCTTTTCGTGTGACGATTCCACACAAAGTACCCGTACTGTCAACCACCGGCAAGTGGCGTAGTCCCATGGTGCGAAAGAGATCAAAACTACGGCGAACAGTGGCAGTGTTAGAGATGGAGAATGCTGCTGGACTAATCCATGATTTCAATTCAATCATTTGGTCGCAATGCATCCCATCATTCGATCCCTGGAGGACTCTTCCTTGAAAAGACTCTAGACCCACTTGAGCCTGCAAAGCAGACTGCAAAGCAGAACGGCTGAGCATCCCTTGAAATCGGAAGGAGCTCGAGGAATCGACCACTGGAAAGGCGCCGTGGGAGTTTCTTCCCAGCAAATCTTTGAGCCGAGCAACACTTTCCACGGGAAATACTGTTCGGACATCTTGGGTCATTACACTGGACACGAGCTGCTTATGACATTCAACTTCTGTGGGCGCCTCCAAAAAAGGTAGTTTCTTCAAGTGAATGTGAATGTCGTATATTCCACGATTGAAGCAATCACCAACAGCTTTCGAGGTCAAGACAGCGAAAATGATTGGAATACTGAATTGTGTATTTCCAGTTGCTTCGACCAGAATCACAGCCAAAGAAATGGTGATGCGAGCCATGCCACCAAGGCTTGCTGCTGCCCCAACCAAAGCATAGACTCCAGGGGAAGACACATGAAGGCCTGGGCCGCCTTGGCCCCTCGAACAAACCGCTTGGAGGCCTTCGCCCAAAAGACGGCCAAGAGCAGCTCCCGTCAACAAAGATGGTACGAACAATCCGCTTGGAACTCCCAATCCATAAGTCCAGCATGCCATGAAAAAATACAATGCTGCAAATAAAGCCAAATACAGCGGATGAAACGCCGCAGGATCATGGAATAACACTTTGATGGCATCCTCGCTGGGAGTCATAAATAAACCCAATGCAGATTCAATGCTGTTTTGCCGTGATTCGCTACTGGCATCGCAAATCAACTTCAAGTCCCCGTGTTGGTCCGATATCACATCAGGAACTACGCATTGGCGCATCACCGCAGGCAAAAAAACAAACGCAGTTGAAATCACTGCTGTCACTGTCATGACTTCAAAGAAGCGTCTCGTTCCGCCTGCACCAACGCACCACTGTCGCCAAATTGTCAATGGAACGTTGAGGGCATTGAAGGTCGCCCCAACCAAACCTCCAAGTATTCCAACACCAAAGAAAAATGGCAGTTCCCATATTCGGTAGCTTGTTGCGTCACTTTGGAAGTAGCTGCCGAAGGTCAGCACTCCCAATGCCCCCAACGTGCCAAACCCCAACGAGTCAAAGCCTCCAAGGAAGAAATTCAAGGTCAGTGCCGACACCGAAGAGCAAAAGAGTGCTTGCAGCAGAACTTGCGGGCTCCAAAATGATGCACCCTCTTCTAAGGCAAATAGAACGCCTCCGACTGGAGCACCAAAGGCAGAAGAGACACCTGGTTTGAGAAGGGAACGGTTTGTTGTTATATACCAAATAGGTTGCTCGTAACTCGTAACTGTATAAAGTTCTTACGGTGAATACGGGCCAAAGACAAAAGCGAACCCTGCTGACGAACCTCACCTTACCATCACTCTAAGAACCCCTTCGTTGTTTGGTGAAGCATAGAAGAACGGGAATTTGCAGAGGAATGTATGGAAAAAGTCGAGATTACACTCTTTAGCTTGGCTGAAAGTGCACAGGCTTTGGTGGGACAGTTTTTTACGTGCGTATACATATATATGTATATATGTATATTATACTATATCCCGGTTTTTATTTAGGTGGTGGGGTCGTGCGAAGAGATTGTTAGTACAGAATGAGCTGAGCCTTACACGAAAAGGGGTTGCACAGGAAATGCAGCTTCACAAAATTGTTTCCTCAAATGGGATCAGGCCCCAACATGGAACCATAAGAAAGAGACATATTCTGCTACAAAATGGGTGCCCGATGGTGCCCGCCAACCAACAATCCTTTAAAGCAATCACGCATTCTGCTACAAAATGTGTCGCGGCAGTCTTCTGTAGTCTCTTCTTTTTCCAATCAAGCGCTCACTTAATCCAGGATTATTCTCCCAAATCCTGAAGAAGTCAGCTTGCAAGACATGCGAGGATTGACAAATGAGTTCCCAGGTGCTGCAAGCAATATATGTATATACATTAACATGTTACAACTGCAAACCAGTTCAGAAAAACACGGAAAGCGGAGCAGCAGCCCCACATCCCCAACAGAGCCCACAACATGTCTTGTGAACAATGGGTGAAAATTGCCAATATGATAAAAAAAGGAGATGCCCCAGGATAGCCGCAGACTGGCAGCAAAAGACCACCATGGCCTAAAAAAGTAACCTACTTATACTTGTCGGACCTAAGTCTGTCATGGTTTTACCACAAAAAAGTAAAATAACAGCAGCAAACCCTGCAACATAAATCCCACGGCCCCAATCACCTCCAACATACCCCCACAAGAAGCCTCAAGAGAGTCCCAACATTTGGCGAAACGTGCCAACATGGAGAAGGACACTAAGAACAAATTTGACCGCCCATTGGAGCAAGCTTTCGTAAGCAACAAAAACGACAACCAAAGCTGTCAAAACCACCTTTCTTACACTTGTCGGATCTTTTTTTCTATACGGTGTTTTGCGCACACTATGTAAAACACCACCTACCCAAGTCAAACGGCAGAGAAAACAAATAACCTTACACTTGTCGGACCTAAGTCTGTCATGGTTTTTTACCCAAAAAGACTACCTGCCCAAGTCAAACGGCAAAGAAAAAGCAGCCAAGTGGACCAACATCGCCGCAAAAAAGTAAATAACAGCAGCAAAGCCTTCAACATAGATCCCACGGCCCCAATCACTTCCAACATACTTCCATGAGAAGCCTCAAGAGAGCCCCGTAGGTGAAACGTGCCAATATGGACAAAGATGTACCCTAAGAATGCGCCAAGATCGCCGAAGATTTGCACAAACATGCTCTAAATTTGACCACCCACTGGAGCAAGTTTTCATAAGCAAAGAAAAGCTCTCAAAAACCCCTTCCTCACACTTGTCCAAATGTTCGCGGTTCTGGTTATGCCGCCTGGAGAACACTGCATTATTGACATCGTGGGTGTGTTCGTCCGGAGCAAGCTTTGATACGCAAACAAGAGACAAAAAGAAGCTCTCAAAAACACATTCCTTACACTTGTCGGACCTCATTTGTTCATGGTTTTTACCAGTGCTTTATGCACATTTGCCCTTCAAAGCCTTTGAATGCCGGAGAACAAGAAAAACCACAAAAATTGCTTCCCGTGCAGGTAAAATGCAACGTCTTGAAGTCAAATAAGCTCAACACACGGTCTGCAAACCAGTCCGGCAAGCAACGGAAAGCGAGAAGCGAGCGGGCGCGGTCGCGACGCGCAGGTTTTGTTTGTTCGATGCCGGACAGCTGTCTTTGCCAAGTTACGATGCGCGCAGTGACTCATCGAGCGACACATGTGGGTAGAGCATAAAGAAAGAGAGAGAAATATGTAAGCCAGGAGACCTGGTCAATGGAAAAACAAGATGGAGCCCACGAACCCGAATGCAAACACGTTCGAAAAGCTACATACGTCCAAGTGACACTCTTGTAGGACACTCTTGTGGGACACTCTTGTAGGAAACTCTTGTGGGACACTCTT